GGCTTAGTTTTTACTTCGCACCAATCGACACTAGCCTATTAGATAGTATCACACTAAATCTATGTTGATAATTCTTTTCTTGTTGATTACCTCCTTGGTCCGGCAAGTAGCAATAAGGCGAGTTCTAACGCGTGCACTCGTTAAAAAGACTTCTAGATGAAAGAATTATCAATGCATGCAAAACACTATTCAAGAATTGCTTATTTACTATTCATACTTTGTTAATCGCTTATGGATCCCACAACCCTAGTTGTGAAGTTTAGTTACCCATAATAGCAAGAACACAATTCATAATATTAGATGAAGAAATCATGAGCTTACATAAAGAGACTAATAAACCCAAAAATTTCAATTTGAATTGCAAAGCCATAATCTTCAAAACAACCTTAGGAAATCAATAATTGTTAGGTTATTCAATTGATCTCCAAAGTCACAAAGTAAAACTAAAATAATAATGTCTAACCCCCAAAAATGAGGTTTACATGCCCAATTTATAGAAAACAAATCCTAAATAAAAAGGGAAACAAATTAAGGAAAGTTTGTTTCAGGTACGCGTCTTCATTCCACGAGACTGACCTACGGACCGTCGATGGATCTACAGTCCGTAAGTCCCTTCCGTCAGCCAGGACTTAGAAAATATTTTAGCTTCCGAAAATCAGCTTCTCTGAAGCAAACGACGGACTAGCAGTACAGACCGTAGATTGATCTACGGTCCGTCAATCCCCTCCGTAGCTCCATACTTAGAATCTTCATAAATCAGGTACTGGAACCCTCGCAGTATCAATCTACGGATACACAGTACGGTCCGTAGATCAACCTACGGACCGTCAATGGACACCGTGGTTCCACACTTGGTCAGATTTCCCTGATTTGTCCTCCATACCTTGCCTGTTGATATACGGTCATCACTTACGGACCGTGAATGGACTTACGGTCCGTAGATCACCTCCGTGAATGCCTTTCTTCTGCATTTCTTTCAGGTGTCTCCACACTTCCGCGCCTGAACATCTTTCCTGCAAAACATGATAAAAACACATCAGAACCAATATAAAAAGGCCCTAGACACACACAACTTGTAAGTGAAATGTATTAGAAATACCGTAAACTCACGGTACATCAATGATGAAATTAATGCCATTGAGCGAAATGATACTTAGGAGCTGTCAGATCTTTCATATGGACAACGAACATTGGAGTTAAATGGGTCTTCAAAACAAAGTTGAAGAAAAAATGGTGAAGTGGAGAACTACAAGGCACGTTTAGTGGATAAAGGATACAAGAAATAATACGAGATAGATTATATAGAAGTATTTATCCCGTTGCTAGACATGATACAGTCAGCTTGGTTATCGCATTGTTAGCTCAGAAGTCTTGTCCTATTTTTTAGCTAGATATCAAGTCGGCGTTCTTACATGGGTACTTGGATGAACATTTATTCATAGAATAATCCCCTAGTTATGTTAAAATTTTAAATGAGCATAAGGTTTGTATATTGAAAAAGTCCATCTATTGTCTAAAACAAGCTCCTCGAGCTTGGTAAGTCACATTTAGGGGTATTTTTTGAAGGTTGGTTTTTCAAAAAAGGAAATATTTTCATTATTTTCTTGTATGTTGATGAACTTATATTTACTGGAAATTGTGGTGTCGTGTTTGTAGAATTTGAGAAGTCGATGATGGATGAGTTTGAAATGTGTGACCTCGGACTGATGCATTACTTTCTTGTCTTAGAGGTAGTCCAATCTGAGAAAGGGATATTTATTTCTTAGAAGAAATTTGTAAGGGAAATTCTAGACAAATTTCAGATGGATTGCAATCCAGTGAACACTCCTACTAAACCTGGTTTTGAGCTACATAAATATCCTATTGGGAAGAAGGATGATAGCACACTTTACAAACAAATTTTGAGCAGTTTGATGTATCTCACTGCTACAAGGCCTGACATAATGTATTCAGTGAGTTTAATCAGTAGGTACATGGAGAATCCCATAGAAATGCATTTATCTGCAGCCAAGAGAACTCTTTGTTACTTACAAGGAAAGAGAGACTTTGGGCTATTACATAAGACGAGTGAAAAGTCCAATATTCTTGGCTATACAAACAGTGACTATGCTGGTGATTATGATAAGAGAAAAAGCACTTCACGTTATGCTTTTATGTTTGGGTCCTGTGCTATTTCATGGTCATCGAAGAAGCAACCAATTGTTACTTTTTCTACCACGGAAGCTGAGTTTGTTCCTATGACTGCATGTGCCTGTCAAGCTAGTTGGTTGAGGAGACTTCAGGAGGAGCTGAAATTCAAGAAACCATAAGCTACCAAGATTTTTTGTGACAACAGTTTAGCAATTCCACCATCCAAGAATCCAGTGCTACATGGAAGATGCAAGCACATTGATGTGAAATTTTATTTTTTACGGGATCTTAGAAATAATGGAGCAATTGATGTGATATACTACAGGAGCGAAGACCAGGTTGCCGATATTTGCACCAAGGCCCTGAAGATGGTGTCATTCATTAAACTTAGAAGGATGCTAGGCATATGCACAATCAAAGATGTAAACTGATTGTTAGCAAACATCAGTTTAAGGGGGAACTGTAGTAATTTCTTTTTGTTTGCTTGTTGACATGGTCTTTAGGAATACTGTGAGTTGTTTAATTTAAGTTGAGTCAGTCCACCTATTTTGTGTTTCAGTAGTAATGTGTTATGTTTCTTTTAGGAGTCAAGTGTTCTATTTTTAGGAGTAGTTTAATTATGCTCATTGTGGACTGATATGTGTGCTATTTTAGTGGAAGTATTATGTTAAGTATTTGCCTATATATAGGCTAAGGCTTGAAGATTCTGAATGAAAGATAGAGTTTTTCAAGCCAGTGTCTTCTTCTTTTATTTTCTTCTTAAGAGTATAACAATTAATTCCTTTGTATCCAAAACTATATGTAAAATAGGTATAGCAAATCAGACTCAAAATAACTTCTGTCATTATTTATAATTTTCTATCCAAATACATAATTATCATTTGGGTACTTCAGGAAATATACAACAATTTTTCGACAGACAAATACCTCAACTCCAAACAACTGAAAACTGAATAGGGCAATTCGTATAGGCAACCCAACAGAAGTCTAAGCACAAGATGTTGAATACCGTTCATAGAGAGGAAATACTCCATCTCATGAATGACAATTCAACTTTCAAGGCCAATAACATCAAGGGTAAACTTCGTAATTGGTCCTAAAAGATTGTCCTTGAGGTGCTTGAAAATGTTGTCAAATTGAATCGTTGGTGATTTCTCTCCCTTTGTTGTATCATAAAGTATTTGATCAAGTTTCAACTCTGAAAGATTGCGCTACTTGTATCTGCAATTCTTCAACAAGATGCTTGTTCGAACAACATCGCGTAAAGGCAAATGCATAAGAATAAAATAAATCACATTCACAGGAAGCCTACTGTGTATATCCATACCATTTAGGCTCTATCCGAAAAGTCATCTACTAATTGAAAAAGACCATGTAATTACTATTACAAACTACTCTTTTCCTTCATAATTAGTTGTCATCAATTTAGATTTCATGCCCCTTTAAGAAATTAGGTAAGTTTACTATTGTACTCTTATTTCGTTTTTTCTTGAAGTCAAGTTTTCAATTAATGAACATGAAGTAATTTATTTTGATTAAATAAATTGACCAATAAACATGAATTAATCATTTAATTTTTCTTTGTCAGTCAAGATCATATTTGCAGGGCTAATCTCTCAAGGGTAAAATAGGAAGAATAGTGCAATTTATATATTGATTTTGTGAATTCACAAATATTGTCACGACCCAGGAGTACTCCCTAGATGTAACATGGTGTACTTGACCCCGAAGGGGTCTCATACAAGCCTCTAGCATCATCATAAGATAATACATAGAAATAATGCAGAAAAAATTAAAACTTTTACAATAGAAGCCAAACTTAATTTTTCATAATCGAAAATCATAGGAATCTAGGCTTTGTCTCATACACCATCTAAACCATAAGAATACAAAGTTTGAGACTTATCCCTTTACATCAATAAAAGTCTCAAAATGAGAAGTACAATAGCATCTAAGAAATGGATAATCTGTCCTCGAACATGAGGACTCACCACAACATAGAGATAAGCAACCCAAGTCTTCTTCAAGAAAGAGAGTGTATATCACCTAGCCGGAACCTACACTTATCAAAATGTAGAAGAAGAAGGGGTTAGCACAAATATGTACTAAGTATGGAAACATGCATAAAATCCTTTAAGTATGATAAAAAGGACGTTTAGTGAAAAGTATGCATTTATCAAGTTTGGAAACGAACATGCATTTTCAATGTCAAAGACGAACCATAATCACATTTATAATCACAACATAGTAGTATCAACACCTTAGCAACCCCTAAGGAACACTTATTCAATGTATGGTTGGCATCTCATAATACCACCCACACTAGTACTCCCTTGAAGCTACCTTAATCATACATATAATCAATAAAGAAATAGTCATGTACAATACTTGAACATAAGGAAAGTCATTCATAGCAACTATCCATACAACATACATGCGCACATTCATATCTCATCATAACATAAAGAACCATCCCATAACATCCTAATAAGTCTACTTGTGCAATGTAAAAGTGAAGTCCCATACCCCCACTCCTACTAAGTAAACTCATTAAGAAGTCATAGTATAGATAATGTCTTATTCATTACCTTATCATTTAGGGAAGAATAGCCATAACCGACATAGACCATGTTAGCTACAATTCGGAATCCGGTGTCGTGTAAATTCCACACCGAAAGAAGGTGTCCTACTTGCCTAAGGTAGAACTAAATGTATTAGCTTTTAGGTGGATCCACTAGCTAAGTCCTATGTTAGCACATAGTTATGGGATATGGAGATTGCTTCTAAAAACCCGCGTTATTTCATTGGCGGAGGGGCTCCCATCTCATAAGTTCACTTTAGATGACCCAACCTATTGCATTGGCAGAAGGGCCTTTACCTTATTGTCCATATCCACTCGGTACTAAGCATTATCTCCCAAATTATACATAATTAGTTGTTGAATTGTATTTACATGTGTGAAGAAGTATTCTCCCCTTCATTCAATACAACTAATAAAATAGCTCATAGATTTATTTAGGTGAGAACTGACTTTCATCCTTAGAATCATCATTAACATGTGAGTAAACCTTTCACATTATTGTTCATAGTGTTTTCATGAGAATTAGCCTTTCAATCAACACAACAACATCAACATCATCCTAGACAAGTCATATATGAACATGTGTAATGGTAAGGGGAGAATGACCTTTCAACAATACCTCAATTTACACAATAGACATAGGATCTTTACGTTTCAAGTGAATCATAAGTTCACATACATCCTTCTTCAATCATGAACAATCCTTCATAATTTACCCCCTTCAAGGGTCTTGAACCAAGTCTCACAATCATACTTAGAATTTACTACTTTAAGCATAAATAAAACAAGATTCAATAACTAGATTAACACAGACACATTTCGTAGTAATCATCTTGCATCAATACACCCATCACAATTCATGAAATTGGGGTCACGGGATAGTTCATGGGTTCATGGCGAGTTTTACTATAAAAATCACCATTTAACGTCAAATCATCCATAATATAAGACAAAGAACATAATGAAATCGTTTTAAAGAATAACCCATGGCTAGAATGAAAACCCTAGTTTTTGAACAATATCCCAAATTTCGAATTTAGAATTGAAGGGGCTTCAGGGAGAAAAGTGTTCCATGAATCAAGGTTCCCATACCTTAATTGAAGCTTTGCCCACGAATTAGAGTTGAGAAGATGGATTCTTGAGCCCTAATGTTCAAGTTCTTGGTGTTCTTCAATGGAGGAACTCTAGTGAGAGAAAGTTTGAGAGGAGATGGGTCTTCTTTTAACTCTGTTAAAAGTAACAAAATTCCAAAGTTTTTTTTTAAGTCTAAAAAGCTTATATAGTCACTAGGAAAGGAATAAAATAATGAGGACTCAATTTTGGAAAACAATTAAGGACCCTTAAATTTTGAACTTAAATTTTTCCCCGTTTCACGATTTAGCTCGCCCAATGAACCCTCTTGGCTCACCAAGGGAACTAGGCGACTCGCCAAGTGAATCTTTGGCTCGCCCAAATTTCCAGTAAACGCCAAATATGGGCAGCTCACTAGGCGATCTAGAGGGCCAATGGGTGACTCGCCAAACTGGTTGGCGAACTAAGGCTTAGTTCGCCCTTTGTTCTAATACTTTGACCAAAGGGACAACCCACAAGGCGACCCCAAGTGCACTTTGGCGCATCGCCAAGTCACTTGGGCGATCAAGTGACCCCATCGCCAAATGGTCCATCTAAGAACAAGGTTCCTTCCACCCTATCATGCTAGCTTAGGCCCTTGCTTGAACCCTACGCTTCTTCCTTACTCATTTAAGTTCTAAAAACAGCCTAGCCGTCAAATTAAAGTTATCCTAAATCACACAATGAGGCTTTAGTTTAACCTACCAATTTTTGGGTCGTTATATTATCTCCCACTAAGGAACATTCTTCCTCGAATGACACTTTAAACATATTAAGGGATTAACAACTCTAGACTAGCAACGCATCATGCATGCGACATCATAAACAATGCACAAACCATCAAAGGAAACCTCAACTCCACATCAATAAACTCAATACAATACAAAGAAGTAGGAACTACATCTACCAACCAAATATGCATGAAACTCATGATCTCACATAGACATAGGAGCAACTACCTTCTCCAATACATAGAAGCTTAACACAACAATATGGAGCCATCATGTCAACACATCATTAAGTATGTTCATCATTTCACCTCATGAAGTCAAAAATGAAATCATCATACTAAAATGCAAATCAACATGAGGAACATATAAATCATGAAAACTCAATATATTCTAAACATGAATTCTCACAAGAATATGCACAACATAAGGAAATCATAAAGAAAACTCATAGCACAAAAATGACTTCCAAAACACCAAACTCAAGAAACTATTTACCTCAAGTTGGGGTAGGAGTAGAACGGAAGAGATGACGATAGCAGGACTTCATGTCGGCCTCGGCCTCCCATGTAGCACCCTCAAATAAGTGATTCCTCCATAGAACCTTAACGGAAACTACTTCTTTGTTTCTTAACTTCTTAACTTGTCGATCCAAAATCTCAACCGGAACTTTTTCATAGGAAAGGTTTTCATCAACCCCTAAACCTTCTAAAGGAAGGATGGATACCGGATCAAGAATGTACTTCTTGAGCATGGAAAC